GATTATGGTGGAAGAGCGCGACCGCTAGTCGCGCTCTTCCACCATGATTTTGGGCGACCAAGATTGAAATATCACGGGAACCATATTTTCAGTCACCGACAGTTACTCTGTCGTACTTATTAATTCTATTTCTCACGACCACCGCCAGGGTATTTATTGGGGGCTTCTTCTGGTTGGCCACATTCAAATTTGTGCAGACGCCCTGGAACACGCCCAGCCCGCTTTCGGCCAATGGTGCCTCCTTATTTGCCTCCTATACTTCCTAGTGAATGGCCGAACTCTCTGTATATACGGCTATGATGAATGAAGGCCCGTTCACACTCTTGCGACCGAGTAAGACCGATAGAGACCAGACCGGTTTTTAAGCCTCTTTCGATCTCTTAGGATCAGCTCCGCTGCAGCGTATCCGGTCCTAAGAAGGCGCAAAAGGCTTAAAAACCAGTCTGGTCTCCCTCGGTCTTACTGGGTCGCAAGAGTGTGAACGGCGCTTGAGGCTGAAACCTTTGAATCGGGGGGCGACTTGCGCCACCTAGCCAATGTTTTTATTTTTTTTTTCTTTCTAACCTTTTTGAACAATGGGCGCCATCTAGGAGCTGCTGCGGCAATTATCCGAGTCCGCCATTGATTGCGCGCATTGAGCATGCATTGGAACACGACGATCCAATCAGACGCATCGTGCCCGAGAAATGGCGACCTCCAATGTTGCTCGATGATGAACTTTTGAAAAGGATCTGAAATGTACTGTCTGGGAAACCAGAATTTCATTGGCTGCTCAGCGATAATAATCCGTCACGCCCTGCCTCGGCTGCCGTTTTTTTTTTACTCTACCGTAAATCTTTCTTTATTCTGTAATAAAAATGTAGGCTGCGAAACAGAAAGCGTGCAAACCCATTCCGGCAATAAGTAGTTAATATAAATACGAGTATTTATTTATTTATTTATTCTGAATACTCTTAAACGCGCTCCAAGGGAGAGAATTACAGGGGGGGGGGGAGGGGGGTACATAACATACAAATATATATTAAGCAACAAAAATATAAATATGACAGCCAAAACAAAAGATGCAAAAGCAGGCGAAAACGATAAATAAGATAACTATAAGTAAAATGCATAGGAGTAGGCAAGAGAAACACTAGGTGGCATTGTCACTGCACTTGAGGTTATGCAGTTTGGTGACATCAGCTTTTGAGTGACTGTGTGTGCTGGTAAATTATTATTCGATCGTGTAATGCGGACAGTCAGTTATTACAAGCGCGCACACTGTCAGGAATGCCTGGATTCATACCGCCCCCGCACTCGCAGAATTGAGAGAGAGAGAGAGAGAGAGAGAGAGAGAGAGAGAGAGATCAACGCATATTTGCATCTGTTCGAGTGTTTATATAAAATGAAGCACACATATAGATATATATTCAGACGCAGGGAGGTCTGTTCAACTCAGGACAATGAACATTATTTGACCGCTGCAGGGTTGGGGGCGGGGGTGATTGGGAGCGTTTTCCGCTGAATCTAGCGTTTTATTCGCCTAACGTTTTTCCGCAACGTGGCGTTAGTCTCTAAACACCGCCATAAGTACATTGTTCTGCATTTTCCAGTTTTATATTTGATCATATTTGGTGCTTTGCATTCAAAGTCCTAGAATGCATGAAATGCATCAGAGAATTGATTTGTCACATGACGCATATCTTCCTGCTAAATTTGGCAGGGAAACTGAACGGTTGTATACGTCACTTGACGTCAGGTCACGTGACGTCGATTTTCCTCGCTCCATTTAGCGGGAAAACTGAATTGGAGTCTGGGTCAAAAAATGCGAATTTTCCCGCTAAATTTAGCGGGCAACTGATTTGGTTTATAGGTCACGCGACGTCAATTTCTCGCTAAATTTAGTGAAATGATGATTTGGTCACAGGACGTGCATTTTTCCCGATAAATTTAGCTTAGAAACTGAATTCGTGCATAGGTATCATGATATCAATTTCTCCGCTAAATTTAGCGGGAAATGCACGGACGGACAAAACTTTGGGATTGGGGGTAGGGTGAATAATAATTGTATGCTTTACAAACTTCATGTGAATTATTATTGCACTGCCACTGATTCGAGCAGGCAATTGAGTATGCATCAAACCTTTTTTTACGGTGATCTCTACTTTTAACGCTGTTTATTTAGATTCTTTTTTTGCGTGACCGTTTTCTAAATTGGGGTTGCATAAATAGCCGGTAATATCCGATTATGGCGATAATTTTAGCCGCGCACTTGCCAATTTGAACTCCAGCTTGGTGTCTAAAGTTCCTATAACTCTTTGTTAATAACGTTTATAATGTGCACGTTCCACTTCGTATCGGCTTCAAAGGAACAGCTAGTGTACTGTCATGGATGAAGAAAGAATAAAACAATTACAACAGGGACAACACAACCAGATTTTTCAAAACAATTAAAACAGGGACAACACAACCAGATCTTTCATGAAAGATCTGGTTGTGTTGTTCCTGCTTTAATTGTTTTATTCTTTCTTCATCCATGACTTAAACAAACACGCTTTTCTACCAAGCTAATGTACACATGCACATTTGTCAAAGATGTACCCCCAACACTTATGGTGAATTGTGTTAGGGATTTATTTCCGCGTTATACGCTTATGCATAAAGGTTTGTCCTTGTCAATTTTTATGAACCAATTGCCACGCGGATGTATAAAGAACTAATAACAATTTTTACACTTTTTTAGGGTAGTTTTTATGGTTAATAGTTTTCGTTTATACAGAGCCCTGATGTTCATCGCCGTTGTGTCGGTGTGCACTGGTCACAACTGCATTTAGTAGTACTTTCCGAAATTCAGTGCCGTCTGGTGACTCAAGTAGCAGTTTATCTTTTGCCGTACTAATGGTTGTAGTTGACCCGCAGTCTGTAGTATTTTTCCAGGCATCATCACTTTCACTAGTCAACGGCTGACGAGAATTTGTTCTTTACCTTGCAATTCTTTCTATACCTCTCAGTATCGATAGCGATAATATGCAAACGGTAGGAACGAAGCACCAAATCGTATTGACACCGTGATGAACTTCTCAAGGGGTTTCAAAGTCGGTTATGTGCCGCCAACAGAGTGACTAGACCCAAGTCAAAGTGAACGCTTATACAGCTCTTGTATTCAATTCCTGCGTCGCATCGTACACACGCCTCGCATCATATGCTTCGGAGCAGGCACGTAGCCAGGATTTGGTTTCGGGCCCGCCCATGACAAAATGCTTTATGAGGGGGAGGGGTGAGAGGAAGTCCCAGCAAATTGGAAGATTTCAGGGAGCGGAGCGGGCCCCATGCCTCCTTCCCCTTCCCCCCCCCCCCCCCCCCCCCCCCCGGCTACGTGCCTGCTTCGGAGCATCTTCTACTACTTCCAATATCAGTAACCGTAAGACCGCCATTAGTACGGCCATAGGCTATGGTACGGCAGATGTGTCATTTCTTGGGGGATCGGTGGCCGAGTGCATGGGCTAGCGCACACCAGCTCGGAGCACGCGGAGAAAATGCTCGTGCTGCAGAACCCAGAATCCTGAGCTTATTCCTCACCCCTGCCCGTTTCAATACGGATTAGCATCGTACTGGCGTGCGGTCGTGTATCACTACTGCGGGGTGCATGGTTAAGACTCCAGGCTAGCAGTCGTACTGCACTGGCTAAGTTGCTCTTCTACAATGGGTAACAATGTCGCCATGTTCTGACAGGCTTAACTCATGCTGTATAAACAACTACCGACCAATTAGGGGAGACTTGCACGCTCCACCGTGTTTTTCTCCCGTTGTCGCGTCTCCTGCCACCACACCTCCAGTTGCCTCTTCGTCACCTCCGCAGTCAAGCGAATGTCCTCCCGTTGCCGCTGTGCTCGCTTCCCTTGTTCAACCAGTCCGTCGGGCATCTCTTGTTCTTCGCCGCCTTCCAGGAGAACCAGGGAGGACCGACAAAGTCGTCGTCAGAGGCTCCGGCGCGATACGCTGGCATCGTGGTAACAAGTGCTCAGCCTCCGGCACTTTACAAAGCGAGCAGGCCCTCTCCTGTCAATGTGGCTCCAGAGCCGAGTTCGTAGGGCCCCGATGCGGGTCTCCGCAGGAGAAGCCCACTACCCCTCGAGTTGTCATAACACGTCCCCTTCTCGACGGCCTTCTTCTCTTTGAGGTGCAGTCTAAGGAAAGGTTTGGTCTTCATTCTAGTTGTCCACCTTCTCATTCCTGCCGCCTGTATGGTTTCCGAGAGCTCTGCGGGTTTGTCTCTGCACCTGCCTACAACCTCAAGCAGTTCGCCAGACATTGGTAGCGCTGCCGTAGTCTTCGCACGCTTTGGATCCACTTGGTGCCCCCCCCCCCCCCTCTCTCTCTCTCTCTCTCTATGCAATGTAGAGCAGCTTGCAGTGAGCCCAGTTTTTCTCTTGCAGTCCTTAGAGACGGCTTTCGTAACTCGCCTTGGATCCGGCCTCTGTAGCTTGAAATATAGGCCAGCCCAGGTCCTCCTGGAGTCCCTGGTTGGGCACTGCTTTTGTGACCACTAGGGCCATCGTTCCGACATCTTTCTGTCGCCTCTCCGGTACTCCCTTGTTAAGCACGAGCACACCATTTGCAAAAGCTATCCTTGGAACGAGGACCATCTTCCACAGGCTTCGGATCACCTCGCACCTGTTGGACGTTCAGAGATTTCTCTTTGCCAGGATTCCATTTCCTCTGAGTGCGGCTGCCTTTGTGTCCCGCTCATGATCTGGGAGGTAGTTAGAACCTGCATTAAGGGTAACCCCCGGGTTTTTGGTGGTGCCTCAGTTTGTGATAGTGATAAAAGTGGCCACAATGAATTTCGAAAAAAGGACTATTTAAAGCCCTTTAAGAAAGTCTGTCAATGGTTTTCATAGGTATTCTTTTCCCGCAGATCTTGTGGAAGCCAGGATCACAGGAACAGCTGTGCCGGGATGGCTTGCGGCCACCGCTGAAGTCACGGAGGGGCCCTAGAATACTCTGCAGCACGCAGTTGATTGGCGGATGCCCTCGGCTCAGCAACTCCCATGGCGACCGTTCAACTCGAACAGCTGTTCAAGGCGTGCGACACACGAGGTTCGGGCTATCTGGACCGCGATGAACTGCGAAAGCTGTGCCATCGGTTCAGCATCTGCAGCCAGGACGCCGACGCCATCTTCGAAGACCTTGACCACGACAGCGACGGGAAGATCGATTTCCAGGACTTCGAGAAGGGTTTCAAGGACTTCTTGACGCAGCTTCCGGCAAGTCCAGCCGACCTCACAGGCACGTCACCGGCGTCGACGGCGTCGATAATGATGGACGCCGCCGGACATCGACTCAGTGATGGGTCCATTGACACCAAGGTCGAGAACAATAACTCGAAAGCTGAAGACGGTGGTGGCGTCAAGGTGTGGAGCACTCACCAGGCTTGGCAGAACCTCACCACGGAGTTGGTGAGGGCCGGTAACATGATCAAGTAAGTTCGACAGTCCTGTGCATGTTATACGATGTGCGATCTAAAAGGGTGGGAAGTATGAAGCAAAGACCATTGAAATGATTCGTCATGCTTACGGCGGAAAAACACGTGAGGCTTGCAAGGCGTCTTGGGTGCCACTCACGCTTCAAGAACTGCAGAACACCACTGCATCACGGAGACAGGTCGGAGAAGGTTCCCATACATATATCTTTGTCTTGCAGTGACGTTCTTTCATTCTTGAAGCGCAAGTGCCACTCAAAACACCTCGCATACCTCGCTGCTTTTCTGCCATAAGTCTGCCGAATAATTTTAAAGGTCTTTGTTTTTCTGATTTGAGAGTTTGACGCAGAATTCATGTTCGCTCTCTTTCTTGTATGCAGCCAATGCAGAAATCGCTATCGTTATCGTGCACGTGGTCGCACGAACTCGTGTAGATCAGCTTCAGAAGATCACAAAACGACGCCCTTTGTTGTAACACATAGAGATCGTGCCTTTGACAGCTGCGCGCGCGTCGCCGCTTTGCCTTTTCTTTTCACGTTAGAAGACTTAGTCCCGAATTTTTGGATCGCGCCCCGTACAGTCACGGCGTATGAGGCTAAACAACTAGATCTTTCAGAAACATCCCACAAGGCCTCTCGTCGATCCAACATTGCACTGCGCGGCGCGGGAGGTTCTGAGGCCGTTTCGGTGTACGCTCGAACCGGCGGCGAGTTCAGAACCCAAGGAAAGCAGAGCGGATATCATAAAACCGATGCGGTTTGGTTTTCGTCCTGCTTTTTTTGCGTTCTGAAATTGTCAAATGCTTAAACAACATGGACCGCGCTCCTCGTATTTATGAGTGCTCCCTGACGCGCTGCACGTCGGATAGGACGTTTTGCGCCGAATAGACGACTAGAGGCGCTGCGTATTTCCGGAAAGGTGCATCGGTGGTTGTGCCGTTCTGATGTAAATTTCTCCGGCGTTTATCACTCAGGCAAAAAAATGCTTAGTCACGCATGCGTGGCGTTTGACATTCTGCAGAATTGAGCAATTGCGCACGGTCAGAACCCGTATCCAAAGAAGGTAGCAAGCGCGCAGAAGGGGAATATTAGAATAGCCCTATGCGCCGGGAAATTTCTGACCATGACCAGGCGTCGTTTTCTGGAAAATGAGGTCTTGATAGGTCTCGCTTCTCTGGAAAGAAGCGTATGATAGGCCTTTGTTCACACCCTTTTATTGCAGAGGAATAACAGGTCAGTCATTTTATCGCCAGATTGGTCCTATGGTTGTTGTAAACTTTACACACTCTGGTGTCCCTCGGCATGAATGCGCTGTTTTCGGATAGTAGTTTTATTACACTTTTGTCACACATAATTTTTTTAATCGTTGTTTTCGCATTGTTTGATACAACAATGAGTATCTCTACCCTTAGAATATAGACGGGGTCAGTGTTAGCGTTTCCCAATGGACATGCTAACGCATTTTTTAAGAATCCTCCTATGGATCTTCCGTTAATTTTTTTCCGGCCTCTGTCGTACGCTGACCCGCGTCAGCTTGCCGCTTCTAGCGTCGCATTTCGGCCAACCGAGCTAGACCAATACCACCTAGAAGACAAGGCCTGCGCATGACGTTTCGTTAGTAGATCCCCGACCCGCCCCAAGCGGCAAACACCCCGAAGCTTGACGAGAGTAGGGGCCGCGTCGCAACTACGTCGCATTCACTTGCGGCCGCAGCTGTGTGCGTGACTGCTGAGCGCGAGCTGATAGCGAGCTTCCAGTGCATTTGCGACGTGCACGCGAACGCTCCCTCGGCCAGGAGCGCGAGCTAGCACGCGCTCCTGGCTTTGAGACGCGCATTTCTAGCGCGCGCGCTCGTTCTGCGGTAGAACGCTTCGAAGCAGCTACCCGAGGTATAAACAGCGCCCTCGACAATGGCGTCCAGTGTCAGCGTCCAGCGTCGAACGAAGGGCTTTTCAGCCCTTCGCGCAGCAGTAAGGCAATTTCGCTCATGCATTTGACGCTCCACGTGAACGTCTAACTTCATCGTATGATATTTGCAAGAGACACTCGGCGTGAGCATCTGTTTCGTTATCTGTTACACAAACCACTGAAGCAGGCGATGGAGCAGACGATGTAGCAGACGATGTTGCTCATCCGGGCTAGCTAGGGGGCGCTGAGGGGATCTATAGTGATGACGTTTAGAGGAGGAAACGCGCAGGCCTTGTGTTCTAGGTGGTATTGGCTAGACGCGCTGCATCCGCTCCTCTCCCCCTTTCGCCCGCCTTGCACGGTTAGCATCGTCATCCGCTGCCTGACGCTGCTGCAAGTTTATGCCCAAGGAGCGCGGAATTTGGACAAGCAATGGCTAATGGCTGGCGATGGTCTTTATGGTCTTTTGGCCAAGGACCAAAGAGTGGCCATTCATCGGCGATGGTCTTTATGGTTTTTTGGCCAAGGGCCAAAGAGTGGCCATTCATCGGCGATGGTCTTTATGGTCTTTTGGCCAAGGGCCAAAGAGTGGCCATTCATCGGCCAATGCTTGGCCGATGGCTGATGTCCAGTGGCCATCGGCCAATGGCTGGCCACTGGCCAAAGGACCATTTCCAGCCATTGGCCAATGATTGGCCAGATCTGTGCTGCTTGGGTAATCACTCGCTCCAGCAGCCCCGCGCTCATTGGCTTCCACCCCGTGTCGTCACCTCCCCCTCGCCTTTGTCCTTCTCTACTGTCCTCCTCTCTACGCGACGCGCTTCCCTTTCTACTGTTTTATCAACAGACGGGCGCCGTCAGCGTTCCCCTGTCATGTGAGTACTGACGCTAAGCCATTAAAAAAAAGTTTCTGGATTACATGTGACCACACCGTGTTTTATAACCTCCTTGAGCCTCAGTCCCTCTGCTCGCACTTCATGCTGAAGGACGCGGCGTTCGCTGCAGAAATGAAGACAGAAGGATCTGCGGGCGCGCCTCAAGCGCGTTCCAATCATTTTTGCTTCCTACATATCTGTGCTTCGAACGTTTCTGCAGACAGGTTTTGTATGGCGAATATGACAAACGTCCGTGATACAAGGAGGAAACATACCTCAGACAGTGTAATCAGACTGTCTTTGGTACGATGTGTTAGCAGCGTGACCGCGGCTTTAGGAACAGTGGCAAACCTGTACACGATAACTCGAAAGAAAAGGACGATACTTTTTCTACCTGCAACAAAAAACGTATTAAAAACAAACAAACACACAAACATTGAAAGGTTTTTAAAAGCAGGGTGTCGAACCCGTCATTATTCCGGTTCGGTTCGGGTTCGAATTTAGTAACCTTGCATTTTATTCCGGTTAGGTTCCGGTACTGTGATTGATTCTAAAAATAGCGAGTTTTAGTAGACCGTGTTTCCCGCTCCGCTAAGCCCCTCCGCTACCCGGAACTCTACAGCCAAGGCCATCGGCGCGCAGGCGCAGTGGCGGTTTCTTCGTAGCGGAGGTCTAGCGGAGGGGGAAACACGGTCTACTAAAACTCCCTAATAACGGTCCGGTTTCCGGTTTCCCCAAGCGCGAACCGGTTCCAACCGGTTCTTAAAAATAAAAGTCTCCAGCTACCAGTTGTTAAGTGAGTTCAACACAACGTCATTTGCAATAATAATAATAAAAAAAAGGATATACAGGAGCCGTGCTACGGAAACTAGGACAGCAAAACAAATACAGGGTGTCACAAAAGAAAATTTACACGGTCTTTTTTACCGCAAAAGCAAACTAGGAATCGCCGAACGCTCACTCTCCGCCCAACGGTAGAGCTAGAGGTCACAACCAGCTGCCAAAGTTTCAGCCTGATCCGATAACTTAATCAAAAGTTATAAGTGATTTTCTGAAAATTTCAATGGGAAAATTGCAGCCGATGGAGTTTTCGAACACATAGGGATCTATGGCACCAGAAACCGAAAACGTGCAAAAATGAGCTCTATTTTCCCATTGAAATTTTCAGAAAATCACTTATAACTTTTGAATAAGTTATCGGATCGGGCTGAAACTTGGGCAGCTGGTTGTGACCTCTAGCTCTACCTTTGGGCGGAGAGTGAGCGTTCGGCGATGCCTAGTTTATTTTTGAGGTAAAAAAGACCGCGTAAATTTTCTTTTGTGACACCCTGTATATGCTCAATTTTTGTTTTGTGATCTTGAACTTCTATCGCAAACGTCGTTCTACGCAAATCAAGTGGTCACGCAGGCGCTCAGGGTACCCTATTGACATGTGGAGTCAATCAGCTGGCACGCACAATAGTCCTATTGCTATATATTACCCAAGCATTAAGGAGAATGCACGGATTGGTGTTCCCCACGCCGCACGTGCTGGCCTCAGAAGTAGTAAATTTTCTTAAGCAAAAACCTACAACAAATGGCATCTTGCAAGCGCGTTCGTCAACGCTTTACTTTGGTTATTTGTTTTTCGAATATTTTATACGTGGAAGGCGTGCGCGTGTGGCGCGTGGAACACCAATCCCTGCATTCTCCTTGATGCTAGTGTAATATAGCAAATGGTATATTGAGGGTGTTTACTGAAGCTAAAATGTGAGGGCGCTGTTTAGAGCATAGTTTGCCTAGATGTCTGTTTTTCTGAGGGTGAAGACATCCATTGTTGCCCTGAATGTCCCAGCGCGTGACGCTCTCGAGCACTCGGTGCGTGACTTGGGCGGTAAAATGGCGTCTGTGCATTAGCCAAAGCTACGCGCTCGAGCTCAGTGACACCGGATTGCGCGCGCTTCAAGATGCATGAAAAAAACAACAAAAAAAAAAAACGACTGGGCGGAAAAATGGCTGAGATGTCACCACTCAAGCAAAAGCGCGCATGTGTATGAAGGCACTCTACGCATGTTAAAAAGAGCTCATATAATGCACGTTGCAAAATAACTCTGGAAGCTCGCTATCCCGACGTGCTTAGAAACCGCGTACACAACTATGGCCGCCAGTGAATACTGTCTTTAGGGACTCTTAGCAGATCGTGCGCTACACTCCGTTGAATTAGTGTCCTTACGCTTGG